TCTTTGATCCAGAACAAAGTTCAGGTTAATACTAAAACATAAGCACATATTTATAGCCCCTTTCTTTGTGTTTGTAGAAGCTGCTAACATCCTACAAGTCTTTCTTTTATTTTTAAATTAATTAACTTATTTTTTCAAATACATTTTTCTCTGCCCACCCCCCACCACTTTCCCTTGCTCCCTCCCTCTCTCCCTCCCTCCCTCAACTCTTCCCCTTTGGTTTTGTCCATGAGTCCTTGCTATATGTTCCTTGACTTTCCTAGTGAATAACGATGAATGGAATCTACCCAGCAATGAAAATAATGACCAGCCATCAATGTAGGTGGGTCTCAGTGATCATTCAGCATTGAGTGAGCCATGGTGAGAGGCTACAAATGGGTATGTCCTGTGGTTCACAGGGCCACCCTAGGAGGGCAGTGGAAGGCTTGGCTTTTTACACCTTTCTCCCACTTCCAGGTAAGAAGGTTCACTCTTTGAAGACTTGAGGGTTTGCCCAGTATTAGCAGAGCCCTGAGGGATGGACAGCTCCACAAAGTGAAGCAAACACCTCCAAGCTCCTGCGAATGCAGTGTCCACCACCAGGTGTGATGTTGACCTGACAGCCACTCTCTCTTCCAGGAGTCTCCATCTGTGGTTCTCCTAGGTATGACAAAGACAAGACCCCATGGCATTGGACACTCCACTCATCCTCCATCCCCTGCAATGGCCTTTTACCACATCCAGGCCTCCAGCACCTCCACAATCTTCTGGAAATGACATCATATCCATGGGAATAGATCTGCATCTCTTCCTGATAACAGATTCCAAGCCCTTTTCCTAACAAAACTCTGATGCAGATTATTTACTCCTGCCGGGAACAAAGATGTCTGTTCTCCACACACAGTAAGGAGTTCCAGTGGTCAGATCTGATTATGTGGCAACTCCTGTCTCCATAACCCTCTTATCCTGGTGGTGGGAGAACCCTGCCAGGCATGTAAGGGTGGGGCAGACAGAGATCCAGGGTCCCAGTTGTGCTACACCCAGGACAAGGCCTCTATCACAGGAGTGGGGTCAATTGGACAGAGTGCACCCTGTCTTTTGGTGGCTGCTGCATGCATCCCAACCACAGCACCCAGCAGCTTGGAGCTGAATGAAGGACACAGAATCTTCTCTTCTAGAAAGGGAACTTGTGACCAGGAGCTGGCAGCATGGAGTCTGTGCTTTTGAACACATCTGTCGTGAATGCATTTTCTGCACTAGGAGAGGGAAGGGAGGGTGTGTGCTTTCACCTATTTTGTCTAGCTGTGCCCACTGTTAGCATCTTTTCTGGAGTAAATTCTTACTCACTGTCCTTGTTCCACTAGGACAGTCTCCAGTCACAGTGGGACTTTAAAAACAATCTCTGCCTTCTGACTAGGGTTGAAACCTTTGTAGCTCCTCATGCCCCCATTGCTTGAGGTGAAGCCCTGTTGGTCCTGTTCTTGTTGTTGTGAGAACTTTACATGAAAGCTTCCCTTGGAACAAACCAAAATCACATGTTGCTAGATAACCCCAGATGTAGCAATGGGGAGCAGGTATCGAGAGCCTAATCACCCTGCATAACAAGATGTTTCTTCCCTGGGAAGACAGCTCCCTGCACCCCTCCGACCTGCTCCAGGAAACCACCATGCTGTCCTCTGTTGCTCTGTCTGGACTGCCTGGGAGTTTCAATGTAAAGAGACCATTAGTGTTTGCTTGGCTGTGCCAGTGTCACTACATTCTGCTCGATATCCTCAAGGTTGATCCATGTAGTTGCTTAAAATAGGATTTCCTTATAATTATTGTAATGCTACTGTAACAATAAAATACTGAAGTGAGTGGCATCCATTGTTTATCTGAGATGAGAAAGAACAGCTGTTTGGGATGCAAGGATTCCAGTAGGAGCCCCAATACTGCTCTGACTGGGGTGAAGGCAAGGGGAGTTTCTGAATAAGGAAAGGATGCAGGTACAGGGCTAGGGGAAGAACTTCTATCACTGCCAACAGTGAGTGAGTCTTTAGTTGCATATGATACTGTGAATTCTAACAGTTGTCTGCAAATTTTAGTGCCATAGCCAGGATACCTCTTTCCTGTTGTGCAAAAGTTGTGTGAAATGCAGTGTTGGGAGCCCACTGCAAAGGAGAATCTGCTGAGCCCAAGCCCTGCAGAGGTTGGAGAAGAAAGTTGTGCCAGGTGGTTTCTCTGGAATGGCTGCCTGTGTTTCATTTTAACATGACGCTACTGTTGTCATCTTCTCACAATCAGAACCCTTCACATATGATGTGTCCATCACAGATCCCTGAGTGTGCAAATAAGTGTGGCTCATTACAGATTCATGCTCTACAGAAGACCCACAACCTGCCTCTGCCTCATGGAAGCTACCAGCCAGTGAACACCCGCTTCTCACGTGCCTCTTGCCATGCTACACCCACCATCCTGCTGCCTGTGTCCATGACCTGCCCTGACTCAGAGACCTCAACTCCATGGGGTCACGCAGTGCTCGTCCTCCCTGAGGGCTTAGTGCACATGGTCCAGCATCTTACACTGTCACCCACATTGTCATTTCTGCTGCTTTAAGGCTGAGAAGTAAGTTCGCATTGTGAGTATATAACGCACTTCATGTTTACATCCCCTCATGGGCATTCAAATGTTTCCCATGCCTTGGTCATGGTGAGCAAAGTGACAATGATGAGGGGTCTCTCTCTTTCCAGACCCCAATGTATTACATTAGAAGAGAGCTCTGGATGCTGGGTTGCTGTTTATGTGAGGCTTCTGTTTTCATGCTGTGGGGAAATGCCACACTGCTTTCCAAGAAGCTGCATCATTTGAGCAGGTGTATGTTCTAATGACAGGCTTAGGTTTAGTTTCCTTTTGTTTCTTCTCTTTTAACAAGTTTATTCTGTGGTCAAGACTGTGATCCTTCACAAAATACACAATTTGAGTGTATATTCTCTGTGTGTGTGGCCTGTCTTTAAATACCTTATCAGAGTTGTTATGGTGTCAATTATAATGACGCATCCCCAAGGCCCTGGTGCATGTCATGGCCGTGTCATGTGTGTGTCCATGAAGCTGCTGATCACATGGCACCTCAAAAAATTGCCACATAATCTCTGAATTGCCTGGGTGGTCTCACCTGGTGCAGGTCACCATGATGGAGGAGCCCATAGGAGACCTCAATATATTAACAGTCCATTAATAACAAGGGGCTGGCCACTCACAATTATCCCATTGTCCCCAATGAGCACAGCCAAGACACACAGCCACACAGTCATATACAGTACCCGTTGGCACACACAGTCACATATGCAGAATCACACATTGCCACACACACTCACATGCTCTCATGAGCACATATACACCCAATTGCACACAGTCTCACTTGTGTTTTTTAAAAAGACACACCACACATGACCTGTGATATGAAACTGTTCATGTCGTTTCACACTATTCCCTCTAAAGTTGTCAGTGTGTTTTCCATATGAATGCCCCATCCTTAAAATGCCTAGCGCAGATGGTTCTCCTGCTAGAATCACTACAACTTGTACTTAATTGAAGACCTTAACTAGCATTTATATGTTTACCTCCTACAGTAGCAATGATTATAAATAAAATTATCTATTTGGAATCGATATCATGTAGAATATGCATGTAGATCTATAACATAAAAATGTACTTATGAGCAATTTTGTACTTTTGCCAAAACTGTGGGCTGAAAGGTATCCTTTGGTCTTGTCCATAATGTGTTTACCGGTGAAATTTCCTTTAAATTGGTGGCTCAAGAAAGCAAAATGTTTCCCCAATTTGGGTGTACACACTCCACTCCGCTGAGGAACTGACTAGCAAACAGAGAGGGTGGATAATTAAGCCATTCCCACCTGTGGGCTGGTTTCTGTGGCTTGGACAGGTGTCTTCCCCTGCCCTGGCTACCCTGGTCTTCAGCCTTCAGACCATGTTGACTTGCGACAACAGCTCTCCTGGGTCTGTGGCAAGCAACTGCAGCTCATGGAACTTTGAGATGTCTCACTATCCATAAAGTAAGCATCAATTCCTTATAAATATAAGGGTAAATATGCATGTTTTTGTTCTCCTTCTCTGGAGGAACATGGCCAATTCTATCTTGAAGCATACAGCACACAGGTTTGTCCAAATGTCCTCATCAGAGCCTACACAAGTGTTAACTTGAAACAGGACTGGGAACTTGGCCAACAAAATGGAGGCACTCAGTAGTAAATGTCATGTTAGACTTTGCAAACTGTTCCTTAACTTTCCCTGTGCCATAGGCATGTGAGGCCCATTGATAGTACTGGATACAAGAGAAGACTCAAAGGAGATTGATGAAGACAGAATAAAGAAAATCACATGGCACGAGCGCTCATTAAGGCAACTTCATCAGACTAAGCTGAGGACAGGCCCCAATACACTGGTCCTCAGTGTTTTGTCTTACAAAAGATTTTTATCCATTCACCTTGGAGCATATCCCATTGCCATTTAAGTTCATGTGGGAATATTCTTAATGTGAATTTACTGAAATGATACAGACATATTTGATTCATCAGATTATGGTGAACATTTGCTCAGAAAGGTTTTTTTTTGCTTGATGCAGGTCCCAAAGGTGATAATACACTATAATAAAAAAAAATGAACATGGAAGATAAATATGCACTAGTGGAAAAGAGGTGGTGGCAACAAAACTGACACATGCTTGATAAATGTGGCAAAGGCCCAAAGTCCTGTGGAAAGTGGGGACTCTCTTAGTGTTCTGCAAGTAAGGAGCCACCTGTCATGTTCCCCAAACTTAAGAAAAAAAATGTTCTTTTATGTCTGGCCAACTAAGAGAGAACTCAGTGCCTGCTGGGATGTGGGATTTGAGGACATGGAGTCCACATGAGGAACACCAACAAAACTCCTTTGTACTGGCCCTAGAGAAGACCACCTTTGAAAGGAAGACTGAGTAATGAACAGAAGTATCTGAATTCTGACCTGTAATGCCTTGATCCGTGCAGGAATGTCCATGAGGATCAAACCTGAGACCCAGGTGCAGGAGGAGACACTGGTTCCTGCAGAGATTGAAATATGCAGCTGTGGATCACTGAGCAGTAAGTTTGTCTCCATATCAGATAGGGGGGTCTGAGGTCCATAAAGCAAGTGGTAGAATGGAAGATAATCAACAGAATGGAACATTCAGAAGAGAAGAAATCAAGCTGTCTCTTACACTGCAAACCATCCCTCACTCACTGAGGGAGTCACACCCAGGCCTAGAATCCATGTGGGAGCCCAGCCCATGTGGTAGGAACAGGGCAGAAAGGAGACCTGGAGTTCAATGCAATGACAATCACCACTGTGTGTGTGTGTGTGTGTGTGTGTGTGTGTGTGTGTGTGTGTGTGTGTGTGTGATTTATAGAGCAGTAGATATGCATTGAAATCAGGTTCACATGCTGGGATCCTCAGATAGGACCTCTAAGTAGAGGAACTGGAGGACATCAGAGGTCCCCAAATAAACCGAGAACTTCAGGACTCAGAGGTTTTTTTCTGTGTCAGTTCATCTGACAGTCCAGGGAGGAGGGTGCTTTGTGATTCATAGAGCCCTGATCATGGGGTTCCCCGCAGAGTCACTGGGGTTTAGTACAGCCAGTTTGCTGTGTCCAGAGATGTTGAAGCACATGGCATCCCCAAGGGAGCGTCCTGAAGTTAATGTAAATCCATGGGAGGTCTGTGCCCATTGAGCCAGAGAAGATCCTCCTGTGCAGGGCCTGGGGTTGGCATCAGGTGGCACGTGGGACACATTAGTTCAGGGCAGATGCCCCATAAGAGGGTGTAGTCAGAGTTGGTGAAGGATTTTTTTCTGAGGATATGGGTCTTACTTTTCTAAAATAAAATAAAATAAAATAAAATAAAATAAAATAAAATAAAATAAAATTGGACATTAGGTGACTAAATAACCCATTCCATCAGAACTCCTTCAGAGCATTTACCAAACTTGATTAGATATGAGAACCACAGCCCATGGGGTATTTCTAGGGCTTGTTATATTTGTCTTGTACAGAACTGATGGCATGGATGGCTTTATTAACTCATTACGGAAAGAATTTTGGAGATACGCTGTCCAAGCAATTAGACATGCAGTTACCAAGGCGGGACTGGTCAAGATGATCTATCTGTCACTCAAACATGGGTTCACAATAAGGAGCTTATCCTTTGGAGGCTTGTTCCTCAGAGGGAACTTCTATGTCAGCATAGAGTTCAGGGACTTAGCAGAGGACTTGCATCCAATAAGGTGATTCAGATTTGACCCCGAGACTCTGACTGAGAATGATCTCTATGTCCTCTACGCTCTCCCAGGGGGAGCCAAATAATTATCTGTGAAGTCCTCTTTTTCATGACTATGCAAATGAGAAAACTTAGAATAAGTTAAATGTGACTCTGTCTGTGCCCTGAGAGCATCACCCAGAGCCACATCCTGCCCAACAGAAGTCCTGCCAGCACAGCTCCTAATCATGGACTGGTGTTGGAGAGCCATCTTCTTGGTGGCAGTGGCTACAGGTAAGGAGATCCCAAGTCCCTGGGTTGAGAAGGGGACCAGGGAGAGTCGAGAATGATTTCCATTCACTCCTGCTTCTATGCCACAGGTGTCCACTCTGAGGTGCAGCTGGAGCACTCAGAGGTTGATGTGTGGAAGCCTGGAGCCTCATTGAAGGTCTCCTGTAAGGCTTCTGGATACACCTTCACTAGCTATGTTATGCACTAGGTGCGACAGGCTCCAGGAAAAGGGCTTGAGTGGGTGAGGTTGGTTAACCCTTACAGTGGTGGCACAAACTACGCACAGAAGTTGCAAGGCAGAGTCACCATGACGGCAGAGAACTCCTCGAGCACAGCCTTCATGGATCTGAGCAGCCTGAAAGTTGAGGACACAGCCGTGTATTACTGTGTGAGAGACACAGTGAAGGGAAGTCAGGGTGAGCCCAGACAGAAACCTAGTTGTGGGAGACAGGAGGGGTGGACTGCAGGGATGTAGCAGAACACCGGGGAGGTGAACAGGTTACACTGACCTCAGAAAATAAACCCAGGGGCAGGTGTGGAACTGGTGAGGCAGGAAGAGACTTCCTTTTAGGAGCAATGATTTCCTCTCAAAGCTATCAGCTGCATCTAGAAACACTTTTTTTCTTCGTGGTTCTCATTTCCTACATCCTCACTGCAGACAGCAAAGAAGGAAGTGCTGCTGCCTGTTTGCAGAGGAGATTCCACCCTGTGCCTGGGACTTTTCTTCACCACGTTCCTGTGTATCATTTTCTTCTTTGAAAAAGAAGCACCCTGAGTGCTCTCATCTTTGTCATAGTTGAGAAAGTTTTCCCCAAATTGGGGTCCGAGCCTGTCCAGGAACCTGTGTGTTGAGCTCAGGCTCTCTGTTCTCCAACACCATGTCCTCACACCTCTCCTTCCTTCTAACAGGGTCACCTTGCTCTGTGATGGATGAAATCATCCCCCAGGACTCCCACCCTACAGGTCTCTGTCTTCCTTGCCACACATTACACTATTGTCCCTTATTACTGGGTGTATAAGGGCCTGCACCCCAACATCTGTTTCAACAACTGCAGTATTTTAGTCTGATTTTCCTTAGTTCCCCTTTGAACTGACAATTTATTCCATTTATGTCCCTACCAGAGAATTCAGGCTAATTTCCTCAGGTCAACATCTTTAACTTACTCTCCCCTAACTTACTAATGTCTGTAGAGTCCTGCTATACATGACAACACTCACGTGTCATAAAAGCAGGAATCTGGATGTTGCTGAGTGTCCAGGTTCAGTCATCCTGCTTCCCTGAGGATCTGGGTCTCAGCTTCACCTTAAGAATCTGTGGACAGGTTTCCTTGCTGTGGTGCTAGAAATTGTCTGGGAGAATGTGTGTGTGTGTGTGTGTGTGTTCCTGCATGTGTGCATGTATGAGTACGAGCCTGTGCACATGTGTTAACTTGATTGAACATAAATTTGTGACTGTTTGCTATGTGCTGTGTGTGCATACTTATGGCTTAGTCTCTGTTCTTAGTCTCCCACAGCTCACAGATAAAGGATCTTCCCACATGTCAATGAGAACGGGGCCCCAGGGAGCCCAGCCTATTTCAAAGTCTGTGTTCCCCTCTCTGTCAACTGGGTGTGACCCAAAGATCAGGAGTGCAAAATGGACACAATGTGCTCGGAGATCTTCTTCTTTTTAGAAACTGACCTTTGACAGCCCCAGGTAATGAATTCAAAGGGGCTGAAAGATGAAGTGCCCCTTACTCAAAGTTCCCTCCTTGTCCCCAGGTGTCCCATTCCAAGTGACCTGCATGTGTCAGGCTCAGGACTGGTGAACCCCAGAGCGGGTTGCAGGGAGGGCTGCATGGGAGCCAAAGTTAATGTTTACCACAACTCTCCTTACAGAGTAGAATTTTGACCCAGGGACATGTCCCAGATCCAGCTGCTCCTACAGCTTAACTCCGTGACCACCAAGGACATGGCCTTAGGTTACTGTACCATTCACATGGGGCGAGTCAGTGTCAGCCCAGGCACTAAAGTCAGTCTTGAGGGGGCAGGGGTGATGTTAGGACCAGGGTTGGTCAGGACACTGGATTCCTGATGCCAGTGTCTGGGGCAGATGCCGAGGGAGTGTGGGAAAAGGGTTCTTGAATCAGCCTGTAGTTCCTCTCCTTGTGCAGAAAACTCCTTCCCATAGACCTTCCCTCCTATGCTTGTATTTACTAAGCATCTTCTGCTTTATTCACTAGTGTGTCTGTTAATGTGTGTATCAGTGCACGAGCAATGTTACATGATCGTGAGTATGTGTGCTGTGGGCCACGATGTATGTGTAAGTTTATTTATGTTTCATATATATATTTCCTTCTAGAGTATAGCTTCTAGAGATTGGAATAATGATAGAAACATCAATGCGTGGTTGCATCCAGCATGACACCCACTGGGGACTTCACCAGCAACCAAGGCATGTGCCAAGACTGAGAATTGAACTGGTGACTCCTTGGCTTGCAGACTGGCACTCAATCAACTGAGCCACACAAGGCGGGGCATGTTTCTAACTATTTTTATACTCTTAGTACTGACATGATTTTTACAGAAAAGTAAAGGATTAATGTTTATAGAATTTCATGATTTTCAAAAAACTTCTCAGCTGCTGAAAAATTAATCTGATAACATATCTTACTATACACGCTGTTCCACAGTGTCTCTACCTTTTCTTCCATGAACCTGGGCTCTATAGGCATCTTTCTGGGTGATGCAGCTGTGTGTGGCTGTGTGCCTATTTCTCAGTTGGACAAGACTGCAGACAATATTGGACTCTCTTCCTGCCCTCCTTGTCCTGGCCCCTAGTCCCATGGACCCTCTATCTGCTGACAAGCCTGTTTAGACTCAGGGCTGGTGGACCTCAACTGTCATCTTGGGGCACACATGCAACTCAGAAAGAGCAATCAGTTCAATGCTCCAAACATGGGGGCCCCTCTTTCCTGCAGGAAACAGTCCTAACACCACAGTGGGAACATGAGACTTTGAGGTCTGTGATGTGCCTCATTGAACTCCTTCAAGATTTCCTCCTAGATCCAAGGGTTTCACACTTCACTGTGGGTGGGTTTGCATTGGGATCATGTTAGATTTTACGAGCAGTCCCAGGGACCAATGCCTTGGCCCTGGTATTCAACAGGACCCATTCATGATCACAGTGTTCAGACAGAGCACATGTTCAATTAAAAGATCCTCTACAAAGAAACACATGACTTTGTCCCAATTATAAGTAAATGCCATGTTGAACTTTTCAGTCCCTAAAAAATGTGCACTGAGTGACCATATCTGCTGGTTTAAAGAGTGGACAACATCCATCTTGTTCTCTTAGTGTTTGACAAGAACACACATAGGCACACACACAACTGCACACTGTCACACACAGTGACACACAATCACAACAATGCAGTCACAGTCACACTCACACAGTCACACAGTAAGCAAAGCCATGCACAGTAACTCATTGTCACTGCCAGCCACTCTCTCCATTTTCTCCCCAAAGCCTCTTTCCCTAGTGTCTCCTCAGGCACCTATAACCAACTCTTCCCGATCTTTGCCAGGGACCAAGGTAGGTGGCTGCAAATAAAAATTTATGCGTTGGACCCTTAAAGAGTTCTCTGTGTCTGCAGCCATCTATCTCTGTCAGAGAGCAACCCTGCCACTTTTCACAGCTGGCTGTTTTCTGTGTATATTTTGGTCTGTGGTGCTATGGGCTAGAGATACCCACCCCTGGTTCAGACCCCACTCCTCTCAGGGGGATCCAAATGATCGTTTCAGTATCCTTTTGGTGCTTCTGCCCATGGGTGCCCCACCTGCCCTCTCAAGCTTCTACCTCACTCCTTACTGGCCAGTTTGCACTAAAGCCAATTCTTCTGTCTCCAAAGCTACAAGGCTCCTCTCTCGCTATCGTTTAGCTGTTTGTTCCAGGTGATTTATCCACCATTTAGTTGTGATTCCAGGTTGCTCCTGAATGGTCAGTGTGACTTCCACTCACTCCACTGCCACCTTGATTCCTCTGTATCCTTTCTTTATTCATGTGTTTGCTGTTGTATATACTGTTAAAATAAACATGGAACTACAGGTAATTCTTTGATATATTAATTTTATATCCTTTGGAGGCATACTCAGAGGTGGAATTTCTGGATCAAAAGGTAGTTCTGTTTTTGATTTTTGAGGGAATCCCATATTGTTTTTCCTTAGCAGCTGACACAATTCACAAACCAAGTAAGAGTGCACAGGGCTCCAATGATTCCATGTCCTCTCCATCCTTTCTAATATCTTGTGTATGTTTGACAGGATTTTTATTGTTTGTTTGATTCTTTTAGATTTTTGATGTTGAGTTGTACAAATTGTTTCTATATTCTGGATGTTAACACATGAGCAGGTACATGAATTGCATAGCACCCCATTCACTTTCTTGATGGTATATATTTCAGGCACATATGATGTTGAGTTTAATGTAAGACAATTTGACTCTATTTAAGTTTATTGTACTTTTATGTCATATTATGGGTCATCTGTGTATTGCATATTATGGCGCATCTATGTGTATTGCCTGATGTGTCTTCCACAGATTCCTGGCATTTAATATTATATCATCCCTAGAATCACTTTGATGATCTGTTTTAAATTCAGCAGAACTACTACCACTGTAAAGTATAAGCCAATGCATTGATCCATAAAATAAATTCTCACTTCCATGCTTAGTAAATGTGTTCATTTGGGTCAGAAAGCCCTGGAAGGCAATGGTACTTAGGGAACAGTCAGTATTGCCCTACTCATTCTTGTGCCCAATGAGTTCACAGCATGTCTTCCCCAAAAACCAACCTTGGATTCTGACCAAGGCTGCCTACCACCGAGGCAGAGGCAGCTCTGGATAAAGGTCCTGTCCTCAACCAAAACTTCAATCAAGCTCCTCTCCATATCTTCCTGAGGAGGCTGCCAGCTTGGGATTTAAAGTCCTCTTTACATCAGAGCTTACTATTGTCCTCAATCCTGACAAGTTGGTTGGGCTAGAATAGCCCACCATAGACATTTGATCACCCTCTCTATATAATTGTGTTTTCCACTCCACAACACCCCCAGACAATAGCTGATCACACTGGTCTCTTTTCAGCGCAAATCATGTGAGGTTATATAACTAGCCCCCTCTCACCCCTGTGGTTCCCTCTTAGTACTTGTCCATCTGCTGACCCCACCCTT